AAAAGTTTGGTGATTCGATTGGGCAGGTTCCAATTTGTGCGCTATGCTCAATGGGTACGATGGGAATTTTCCTTAATAACAAATTTTTTCGCGCACATGGTGATTTCCCAAAAAAATCTTACTTGTAATTATGGAACATGTCAGAAACGCATCCGATCAGCGGTACCGTAGTAGGGATCTCGTTATTGGGTGGTCTAGCACGTTCAGCAAATCCTAAAACCACCATGGGTCCCGCGCGGAAAAATTTGTCCAGCTTGCAAAAAGAATTGTTATATTATCTACCTCCAATATACATTTGACTCGAATCCGTTCCAATATCAGATTCGTCGTTGAGAGTTTGCTTCTCGCCGACCTCCTTATCGTCAACACGTAGACGAACACTATAAATAATCATATTGATTTATCGATTTTTCGACCCTCGATCTTTATTGTGGCAAAATTCGGAGAGTGTGCATCTTACATTTTTCCTTTTCTGCTCATGAATACCGAATGCAACTGTCCATCGTTGTACATCTGGCTTGAACGAATGGTTACCACGAGATTTCTGGACGAAGGATCCTGAAAATTTGTATAATTTTCATTTACTTATCAAGAACAACTGCAAGATGAACCCACTTTGCCAAAATGTAGAACTAGGTAGCCGCGGAACAAGTAGAATGCCATGTAACCCTGGAAAAATCAACATTATCAACGAATTTTTTGAGAAAGGGTCACAGTGAAACTGGAAGAGAATGTCATATGTTGCAGTGATATTGCTTGTTGCCGGGAGGCGGGAGAGGGAGGGGAAGGAAGAACAAAAATTTTTCAATCCGAACCCTTCCGTCACTTTCCGCATCTCTTTGCTTTCGACGGAATGTTTCTAGCCTTGACGATTGGAATATAAGCGTGCCATTCTCTTCTTTAGTGCGGAATCCGAAGCCAAATCTAGAGTTTGAAAAATTGCAAAAATTATTTATTTGGTCTGCGAATTGACTTACGTCGAATTATTATCCATAATAACTCCTCTTTGAAGGAGATATCCAGGTCTTGAGAATCCGACAATACGATCTGTGGGGATCAGCATGGCAGCGCTGAAACGACATCCAGGTTCGCGACGTTGCCATCTAACCGGGTGGTCCAGGTTCAGTTCGGATGCCTAGAAAAAATAAGTAGATCAATTTTCAAATAATCAAAAAAAACTTTTACTTCATGCACTCTAGCAAATAATAATGTTCCGTTGGGTTTTTGAGCTCTAGAAGCTCAAATTACGCAGAATTCTTCGGAAATGCTGGCGATGAAGTGTGAATTTAAAAAAC